GGCCTGGCGCACTTGCTCCCAGGCCCTCCAAACTGCAAGCTCTGTGGCTACGACAAGGACTGTCCCGGTCACATGGGGCCAGAGGCCTCAGGGGCGGGGCCCCTTTGGGCATTTTCCACGTCAATGTGTCAGCCGCCTGGGTTCCGAAGACGTCTGGCGTGCATTCACCTTGACCTTGCAGTCAGTCGGTCGGTGGACAATGGAAAGTCGGAGTCGGGTGAAAGGATGCCACAGAGGTCAATCTAATCCAGCGAGATCTACTGCTGTTTCTCTAAGGCTGGTGCAGAATTTCTTCCAACCACCATCTCCGATCCACCATCCCAGGCATATCGAGTTTGCAACTCCGTGGGGGCCTCGTCCGTTGCAACACAGGAGATCGAGGTTCTGAAGGGTTTCACTGTGCATGTGAAGGGACGGATCTTCAATCTGTAGGTACAAAAACCTATCTAAGCTTTGTCGTGTGTTGTTTTTACTTATTTGTTTGCCGTAAATCTAAGACACTCAAACAAGACCGGAGGCAAGAACCTTGGACTCTACAGAAGCTTTTTTTAAGACCCATGAAAGCTGTTGGCAGCCATCATTCGCCCGTTGTTGGGGGGGGCTTTTCCTCCAAAGCCTGGAGTTGATGGGATTGTCCAAGTCTTGGATTGCGAGATTCTATCCATCAGTATGGCCATTCACCACCCATTAACAAAACGTCCGGAGCGGCCCATCGGGGTTTTCATGCTTCGTTTATTGGAAGTGCATTGACGTATTTCTTGAATGGCTCATTTGCAGCAGAATAGGATCTCTTTTCAATGAACAATCTCCAAGTTCAATCTGTTGGAAGGTCTTCTGGCTCAGCCGTTGGTTCTCGGACATCCCATTTCTCGCTCTTTGACGTTTCAGCGACTTCGAGGGATGAAGTGCCTTTCAAGCGTCACCCCTCAAAGTTCCAGAGCTTCAATTATAGGTGGCTACATGACCTTCCGGAAGTCAGTTGGGAAGATTCAAGCCGAGTCAGGGAAGAGTTCACATCATGAATTGGTGATGTTTGGAGTTCGGAAGACCCTCCGCCGCTTCCTGCGCCGCGTTTCACGGCAGCGCAGGGTGTTCAACCCCTTTCTGTTGACCACACTGATGAAGCTCATGAGACAGTACCAGCCTTGGGTCGGATCCGTGTTCCGTGCCGTGTGCTCATGAGAACGCGTGTTTTTTTCCCTGCTGCTGCGCGGGAGGAGGCAATTAGACGGATCAAGATCCCGTCCATAAGTATCGATCTTTGGGGCTAGAGTAGTCCTGTCACCTCTCAGAGAGGTGCAGGACCATGCTGGCAAATTGCAAATTGGGTGTAGAAAGCAGGGTGATTCAACATCATTTGACCGGTCACCAAAACTAGTTAGTTGCCCCCACTTCAGTTTGGAAAGCGTACCTGCTTGTTTTTGACAAAAATCCTGTCCAGTCTGGTCTCTTTGGGGGCTTTGACCTGTCTACTTAATGCATCTTGTTTTGCTTGTGCTGTGTGCCCTAAGTGCTTTGCACGAAAGGCGTTTGACATTTCATGCTTTCCTTCTTCCTAGCTTTCGATCGGCGGCTATACTCAACGCCGAACCCAACGCGGCGGGCGCACGGTCCTATCGTCCTATCCACATGTACCGTTTTGGGGTTGCGACCTGACTCGTCATTTTCCGAAAGCTCAGGACATGCATGAAGTGCCACAAGTTCAAGTGCCACGAGGCACGGCTACGCCCGGCGGTGCCACGCTCTTGTTTAGGTTCCCGGGACGATGTCCAAGTTTGTGGATTTATGTCACATGTATGTGTCCAAATGTGGGACTTCTTGCCTAAGATTTGATTCCTGAATGGTCCAATTTTGCTTTTGGTTTTGCGCTCCAATTTTTTTAAGGACTTCTACCAAGTGCTATGCTGGAGATCAGAGTCTGAATTTGGTTCCGAGGGCCGATACTTTCAGAGAAGGGCGGAACCATCCAAAGACCACGCTTGAAACGGCCCATGGAAGTGGTGCATGGAAGGCCCACCAACGCCTGCAGAACGGGTGATGGATCAACAAACAAGTGATACGGATCAAACATGATCAAACAATGCTTTTTGAGACTGAGATCAAACATAAACTTAAAAAGGACCAAACATTGATCAAAACAATATTCCGGAACAAATTGGGTGCGTAAGGTTTGCTGGAAGTATCACCCTGGGGGGCCCCACAAAAGGGTCAAGTCTGACCTGGCAGGCTTTGGTTCGACGCACATAAAGGTGCATAGGCAGAATGGCTTCCATCTGGCTCGAATTTTGAACACGCACTTGGGGCCACCAAAGGGTTGCGTGAGGTTGGAATAACTCCATTTGACTCTGGAATTGCCCAAACCAGGGTGTGTAAGATTTGTTTCAAATTTCCGTGCGGTTCGTGGCAAAAAGGTTTGCAAGATCTTAAAGGCTCTTATGGCCGGGTGGTTCACAAGAGAGCGTTTATGGTTTATGGCTGCTCTACATGTTACCTCTCTACATGTTACCCTTGGTTGCCCACAAACGGATGTGTCAGGCTGGAATAGCTCATGCTCTACTTAAAGTTGACCGATTGGATTGAAATTTACACTCAAGAGGCCCACAAAATGGTAAAGGTGCAAGGGACCAAGGGATGAGGGGACCAAGGTGACAGGGGACTAAAGGACCAGGGAACCATAACGCTTATTGCTTTTGTGCCTATCCCGTGCAGGAACTGATCTGCTGTGAAGGTTGGCCAGAGTATGAGGGTTGGCATGTGAATTGCTTTGGCGTACTGCAACTGAGTCCACCATCCCCATCCGATGCACTCGTCACGGCCTGTCCAGTGAGTGCAGCGCACAGGCCGTGAGTGCAGCGCTGGCTTCTTGGCGTCCAACGACCGTCCGGAGATGTGAGGGGCCACCGGTGGGTCCGTAGCTCTGGTGTAACTCAGGAATAGCAAGGATCAGAGGTCTGTAACTTAAGGTATATCCAAAGATATACGCATTGAATATTGAGAGACTACACCTTTGATAGTACCTCACTCACCTTCTTTTGAGCTGAGAGGTCTCGTGCGCAGGTGGTATCTGGACCCATTGACCAGGGAAGGGGAAAGAAACAACGAAGACTCAAAGGTATTCACCAAAGACGCAGGGCGGCGCCACATGTGTGCTACACTTGGGTGCCACGCATGGGTGCCACATATGGGTGCGCTACATCCTCAGATCCTTTGGGACTTTGAGGACTGAGCAAAGTATACAAATACCAGGGGATAGGAATCAGGAAAGAACCTCAGCCAAGAGTTTTGTCGGACGGGGTGATTGTGGATCGGAGGACCCCAGGTCAGTTTGGCGGATATGGATGGATATGGAGACCCTGTTTTCAAGGAAGGAAGTAGCTCACGGTTTTCCAGGAACTCCCAAAGAAGGAGGTCTGTCTGATGAGCTGGCCGGTCAGAGCCTTTGGAGGTTCGCAGCTTGAAGCCGTTGGCGGGTGGCGACTTGCCACCAGTGCTTCCCCTTCAGCCAGAGAAGCAACTTGGCACCGCACCTGCTGGTGTAGACCCTTCAAGACCCGTCTCGACGGATTGAAATCAGGTCACGGTTCGATGGTTTGGATATTGTTGGTAGCGTGTGTCTCGGCTTTGACAGATTAAACATGGTAGCGTATTCATGGATATTGTTGATAGCGTTTCTCATGTTTTGATATTGTTGTTCGATAAGTTGAGAGCGGGTTTTGACAGATTGAGGATAGACGGAGAAAACGCTGTGACTGGAATGGGTCTTGTCTTGTCGGTGCTGTGTGTGGGCTGGAATTGGGTCATGAAGCTGATCCGTGAAAACCACTCGGGTATTCAACGAAGTTCCGAGTAGATCCTCAATTTGCCAAGGTGTCTATGCTCCAAACATCTAGAATCTAGTAGAACACTGATATGAGATGATATGAGTATTGACTGTATGTGTCTTCCTCCATCAGGTCGGCCTTTGTGGCAGAGATTGGGGCTGAGACAGAGGCATTAAGGCTGCTGGTGGAGGAGCACACCGAGGAAGGCGGGAAAATCGACCACAAAGAAGGACAGTGAAACAGTGATTGCATCGTTTTATTTGGCAAGGTTCACTATCATACATATCATATATATATAATATATACACATGTTGGACATGTAGGCTTCTACATTGATCTACAGCTCTTGCGCCAATCAAAAACAGATGGGAATCCTGCTAGTGTGGCCCCAGCAAACCAGTCTCCATGGACTTTGCGCGTCGAAAGAGATTCAATTGTGGTACCCGGTTGTTCAGCCCAATTCAATTGCTTCCATGCATGTAGCTTTGGATGGGGCATCCGATGCTTTGGCCTAGGACTTAGGATCTCCTAGGATCATATCGTCCCAGGCCCCCTCAAGTGACCTGGAATGTGGGAAGATTCGAAGAGGCGGAAGTAGTCCTTGGACGTCCTTGGGGGTTTGCAGATAGATGTATTCTACACCTAGTGAGGCTGAGTTTATGGGGTGTCCAAATTCTTCTTGGACGCTCATTCTATATTAATTCATTGTAGCTCGCTGAGGCAAAATCGAAAGCAACTCGGACTCGTGCCATTCTCAGCCAGGATCGCTGGTCACCTTTGCCCTTCTCCCTCCCTATAGGACCTCTCTCGCCGGCGAGGTGTCCAGATCTCCCGCGAGACGCTGCCCGCGCGTGGGCCGAAGGAGCAGTTGCAGGCGGAGCTCATTGAGATCAGAGACTCTCCAAACCAGTCAGATTTTGGAGCATCTTCATGGAATGTTCGTTTGTTTTGGAGTTTTCAGTAGAATAGAGCCTTTGCCACTTGTGACCAGGGCTGGTATCAGGGTCAGGCTTGATGGGGGAATTCATTCCAGTTTTGATTAGGTGTCGTTCTCAGCCACCAGGTGACCCGGTGACCCTTCAAGAGCTTCACATGGGGAACCTGACTCGTCTCCGAATCCAGTACCGAATCCATGGTGACTCGTCTCTGGGACCGCGGTCGAGGGCGGTCGATTTCTGCAGCAGTTGGCTCCAAAAGGATTTGACCGCTTCATCTTCCAACTGATTAATCCCCTGAGAGAAGATCGTCCTTACGAGGTCGACTCACCTTGTGATTTCGTCATTGCTTTCACTCAGTGAATCCTGATCTCGCGGCGTGGCCTTTTTCGGGATGAACCTGATGAGCTTGTCGGAGGTCAAGAGCACTTGTAAGCCTTTGGTGGAGTTGGAGGACGATCTACCCGGATTGAAGGCCGGAAAAGGAGGGGGGTTGTGGCAAGTGGGAACTTCGCTGTGGGTGAAAGGATTTGCTTCTCTCAGAGTGTAGAAAACATCGACTGTGACAAACTCGTTGATTCCAGAGAAAGCTCAAAGAAAGCAATTACAAAGTTGGGTCGGGCCAAACGCAAGGCCTATAAGGGAGTCTCTAAGGGATACTTTTTTTTAACCGGCAGGTACGAAGACTAATCAAACGGTGATGAGGTTGACGAACTCAACTGAGTGTGATTGCATTGCACGTATTGTTGGCATCAAACCATTGCTTTTTCTACCATGAAGTGTTTGGCGACGTGTCGCCTCCACGCAGAGCGAACCATACCGGCCCTATGGGTTTATCAGCATGTCCCATGTGCCATGTGCATTGTCGCACCTCTCCATCATGCTGTTCATTGAATCCTTTTGATGTGTTTCATTGACAAGAAAGTGCATTTTTATACATGTAAACAACTGCACAATTTGCCAAGATGTACTGAATCAAACATGTTGCATGCTCCGAATACAAAAAAAAAACAACGCTATGCCACGCTACCGGTGCTGACAGACCAGGGACCCAGGATCGATCCAGTATAACAGTCCGTTCAAGGAAGGTCAGGATCGATCAATGCCTCAGAAACATTGTAATGATATGAGTAACTATATATGTATAAATATTTATATACTTTCTCTGTGGAACATTATGTTTTCTATTCTCTTGTGGGTTCATCCACCCAAGAAGCTTGGGGCTTGCCATGGGCCTGTTTTGCACCACGGCGCCGGATCGAAACAGCACCCGGTTTTCCTCTGTGGCGATGCGGCAGGAGTATCAAGAGATCCCAGACCAGCGGATGGACAGCAAACCCATACGGAATTCCTACTGCTCCTTCACGGAATACACCAAGAAGGACAGGCAAACTCTGACGGGGTCGCTGTTTCGTGGGCTTTGCCATGTAGCAGTACCGGTGTTGTGGCTATTTTCTATGCGGCTGCGGCGGTATATTTTGAGACTCGCTGAAGCTTGCCATCTCGGGTTTCTGCCGCTTCTCTTGGGTCCAAGGGTTTGGAGCCATCCTCAGTCCCCACGACGTAGTGATCATCCAGGTGCTTTTCAACAAATGGCAACTCAATAAGCAAGCAAAACGACTGACACTGCTCGTGGTTGAAGAAACACCACATGAGCAACTGTGGGCACCAGAATTGTTCTTAACAACTCAAAAAGAGGGTTCTCCGCAGCTCCAATGTGTGCAAAGCTCCTGATAGACTGGTAAATTTCAACATGCCCTTGTAGGCTAGCAATGGGGTCCACTGTGGCAAGCTAGCTCAGTCTTATGACACGTGAATGTGGAAGCCTGCATTTCAAACCTATCTTGAAAGATGCCCCCTCTAAGCCCAATCTTTGGGACGAGTTCTTGCTCTGGGAGCTATGACTCGAGTCTGAGCTTGGATGATTGCGCTGATCAGCCCGGCTTTCAGATGCATCCGTCAATACCATGGGTGTTTCACCTGCCAGTGATGGGATGGGTGACCCCTCGCCTTCACGTGTTTGACGCGCCAGGACGTCTTGCCATCACCGAACCGCTTGGCCCATGATGCGACTCTTGGGCCAAGGAAACCGGTGCCGTGGTGTTTGGGCAGTTTGGGAAGCACGAAGTTAGATTGGCCTTCCACAAATTCGGGGCGAAGACTCCTACCCCTCAACTGGTTACAGAGATTTCAGTGGTTTCCAGACATGTAAAGGCCAACAGAGATAGACGTCGTCGCAGCAGTGAAAGCGATGTTCACCACCCATGTTTCCAGCTCCACCGATCATGGATTTTACGTCGTGCTATGCGAGGTACGTGCGGGAAGTGAATCGCTACTTGGCCTTGGTGGAGGAACAACCTCAGCTCTTTGAGAAGTACATCCAACAACGACGAGGTGCCTGTGAGGAATTTGGCCAGGGCTTGCAGACAGCCTGAGGGTCACGCAAATCATTTGACTGGTCAACAATTGTTCAGAGCGAAAAGGGACTAAGAGCAAGCAATCCTGAAATAAGATAAATAGAGCCTTGATGAGCCTTGTTTAGAGTTTTACAGGCAAAAGAACACTAAGCAGTCAAGATCCCTAGCATGACTGTCATGACTAGAACTTAGTCTTCCAAGTGTCAAGAGATTTTGCACAAGTAACAATGCGATTGTTATGAAACCCTTCAACCCCTACGGCCTTTCTAAGCCTTCCCAAGCACCATTGCTTGCTCTTACCAGGCACTACTAACACCTAACACACACGGTTTGATGCGGGGAAGACATGCAGACAACGTGAGCACCGCCGACCACGGAGGTCAACGACGAGGCTTCAGTTCGAGGGTCCGGGCGATGTCCTCTGATCGCTCCGATCGGTCTCGTGGTCGCTGAGGTGCGCGGGAGTCGACCATGTGTGTTGTCGAGGGCTTTTTGGCCAAGGGCCAAATGGAGGGCGCATAGTTCATATTAACCCCCCTCCATTTGGATTGCAAAACCATGCGAAACACCTCTAAACACCTCTCGCGCTCAACTCAGGTGTGAGACTGTGCCGCACTAAATGGTATCTTGAACCCTATGAGGATGGCACAGAAAGAGCGACCACCCGAGCGGGCTGCCACTTGTGGCATGAGCCGCCTTCTATCGATGTTCAAGTCCAAGCACCAACAAAATGCAGGGCGATTTAGCCCAAGAATTACGGGCAGGATATGCCTAAAACACAGTATGCAACCAGCAATGCGTAGATGTTCAGTGTCAAGCAAGGAAGCCAAGCTGGAAACTCATTAAAGACAACACATGCTAGCAAAGACATGCAAAGACTGGCCAAAGAACAATTGACAATTGCCCTTTGAATTAGCCAGTCGATGGCTCAATTGTCCTGGGGGAGCATAGTGCAAAATGATTCAACGCTGTTTCAAGGCACGTTCTCCGCACAGATCTATTCCCCCTTGCAGCAGGACCGTTTTCAAGCAAGCTGTCCTGAAGCAGAACTTGGAAGCTTTAGGCATCACCAGCTCCATCAAAGTTAAAGGCCGCGAGCCAAGAGCTGCCACGTATGAAGTACAGCTAGCTCAGGCAGAAATCAACATGGCGAGGTGCCACACGTACTCGATCTAAGCGTTGTCCTCATGGACAGGGTGCCGCACCGTTTGCCATGCGGCTTAGTAGACGAGCCACCCCACCATGGCAGTGGCCCCGCTGGCCGTAAGCCAGGTAGCTTGGGGCCAGGGCGGTTGATTGTAAAAACCTCTTCGTATAAGTCAATATTCTACATTGTAAAGACAAATTCAGATTTACGTTATATGGCATTCGTGTCGGCTTGAGTGGGGTCATAGCGCAAGCATGGCAGGTATCATGTTCTGTCAGAGGTCCGGGGCCTTGTCCATTCCTTCTCATAAAACCCCTGGCCATGTAACAAGGAGATGGGGGAGGACATGTACGCGGCGCCCGTTTTTGCTGGCTTGTCATTTTGGAGCTCGGTGCTTGAGCCAGACCATGGGTCCCGATATATTTTTTGGACTACTGAAATTTGACTTGATGGAGGGCTTGGACACCTTTG